AGAGAGAGAGAGAGAGAGAGAGAGAGAGAGAGAGAGAGAGAAATGTTCAAAGACAAAAAGGCCTTGCGTCTTTGATGTAGTGGTGAGGCGCGTTGCGTCACACACATAAGACCCAAGTTCGATTCCTGTGTGGGGATACATTTTATCAAGTGTCTCAGACTTTCTTCAGGGAGGATTTTGCGTCCCTCGCAATCTTGGTTGGTTCTGGCAGGCAGGGTTAAAGTCCACCTCATGATCTAAATTGGTCGCTTTTAATTTTAAGCTCAAGGGGGCTATCCCGAAAAATGCTGATTTGAGAAAATCGAAGGTAAAGCTTTTGCCCCTTGTGCAGTTTCTTTAAAAGACAAGGAAAGTTTTCTCTATAACCAAAGAAATATGCACACCAACGAAACCAAACTTCTCCTATAGTTACTATAGTTCTCAATGCCCACTTTTGGTGTAGGTCAAGGTTTCTGGAAACCCCCAAAATCTGGGTCAGCCGCTTGTCCTTAAAAACCGACCAATTGTGTTGGTGGTGACGGAATAGTTTCATCAATAAAGACACCAAATTAATAAATTTTAATTTAAATGACTTTTAACCTCCCCTTTGCATGACCTATTTAATTTTGTGTTTGCAAGTGCCGTAAAACTGACTAACCTCCCAAACTTCCATCCCTCCCCCCTCCCCCAGACCTATACGGCTGTGATCATGTAGAACCGGTCACCCACAAAATCCAACACTTATTTGACCTGTTGGTTGTGTTACAAGTGCCGTAAAACTGACTACCCCCCCAAAAAAAACCCCCAACAACAACCACAACAACAACCCCCCCCTCCCAACAAAACATATACAAACAAACAAACAAACAAAACAAAACAAACAAAGAAATAACAACAAACAAATAAACACAAAAAAACTAACAAAAAGCAAAAAACAACAAAACAACGTTCCACTGTCCCCCAGACCTGTACGACTGTGCAGTAGAACCGCATCTTAACAACTTTCAGCCCCTACAATGACCTACAATTATTGTGTTGCAAGTGCCGTTAAACTGACATACCCC